AAAATTTATTATTTATTTATTTGCTAATTATTTTATTTTGCATCCATGATTTCAAACATAAGATTGCCCTGGCTGTTTGTGGGTCCAATCTGTTTCTCTGAGGTGAAATAACTTGTCCTGCAATGGAAAATGCTTGTTCAGAGGCAACACTTGTTGCTTGAACAGAAAGAAAATCACGTGCAATATTATTTAAGATTGGATACTCAGATTTTTGTATATTCCACCATTGAAGAGGGTCAATGTTTAATTCTAATGGTGCTGTTAAATATCTATTTAACTCACTTAATAGTGAGGTTTGGCTATCATTTGTTGAACTATTAACAATATTGCTAGTAGTTGTATTAATAGTTGAGTTTTTTTGACGAAGATTGAAAAAATAATCATGTGCATTATTATTATTCTTATTATCCAATGTATTCAAAGGCACCTCATAATGTAAAGACAATTGCAAAATTAGATTTTTTACATCCTCCCTCTCTCCTTCTTTAAATGCTGATAATTTACAATGGGGATCCAATATTGAAGAAATTTGTGAGCTGGTATCTAAAAATGGCCAATATTCTTCTAATTTGTGATGAATGCTATTTGCAATCATAGGTTGAGTAAAGTTGTCATTATTATAATGAGTTTCCAAGTCTTCTAAGATACTCAAGAAACAAAACCTAACATCACCATGTGTACAATATGAAGAAGCAGACAATAATTTTGTAGCATGCTCAATTGGTTCTAACATAATTGTTACATCCTTTAAAAAAAAAATAAATAAAATTAATAATCTTTTTTTTGTAAAAATAATAATGATAAATCAGATATCAATATTAATATGGTATGTTTCCCTGACAGGATGTTTCTCTGGAAACAAAACAACCAATAATATATGGCATTTATTAAAATGGCACACCAAGTGTTGTCAGGGAAACATTAGTTGGTGAAACTTTTTTTTTAAATAATAATTTATATACCTTAACATTTTGCAATTCTTCATTCGTAGGATAATTTCTTCTAACATTTGCATTATCAGCTTGAAGCATTTGTAATTCTGGTTGTAAATGTATAAATTTTTTTAGCATGTAGAATGTGGAATTCCAATGCGTGACAATATCAATTTCAGGAGACAAGTAATTAATTTCTTTTGTAGTACACAACTCCTTCAAAGCATTATTAGCAGGTGTAGATGAACGAAGATGTGACATTAAACTTCGCACTTTTATTACTGCATCATCAATTAGTTGCAATCCTTCTTGCACAGCTAGATTTAAGACATGAGAAACACATCTGTAGTGTGAAAAACTATTATTATTATGATTTGTTCTAAGTTCCTGAGATAGAAGACGTCCACAAGCTACCATTGTGGCTGCATTGTCAGTAGTTAATGCAAGTGTTTTTTCACCAAGCTGAAATTCATTTAAGACTTTCAAAATTTCCTCAGTTATATTTATTGTTGTATGATGTTCTAACATTGGAATTATATCAAGTAAAAAACTATTTAATTTCCAATTGTCATCAACATAATGAATTGTAAGACTAAGAAAAGCTTTATTGTTACTTGCAGTCCACATGTCGGAAGTTAAAGAAACTTTACCAATAATTTGTTGAATTGAAATTTTTACTTTATTTTTTTGTTCCTCATATCTTGAAATTATAGTATCATGAATTGTTTGTCTGTTATGAAATCTATATCTTGAATCAAAAGTAGAAATCATAGTACACCACTCTTCATTCTCTACCACATTTATTGATTGTAAATCACAAATTATCCACTTAATCACAGCCTCATCGCGATTTTTTTGATCAGTTTGTGTGTGGGGATCATTACGATATTCATGTAAAGTTTTTTGTTTTTTAGGTGCAATGATTGAGTGTTTATCTAAATGTCTTCGCAATGTACTAACACTACTGGTTTTTGAAAATCCACTGTTACATCTTTTACACACATAATTACCAAATTGATTTGTATCAAAAAATGTCCAAACTGTGCTTGTTTGTTTATTATAAGATGAGAATGACGGTGTTGATGATGTTGTTCTTGTTGATGATGTTATTGAATTAACAGATATATTAGACATTGAATCCTCAGCATCAATGATTTCGCTTGCATTTGAATGTTCTTCAACTTCAAAAAAATTATCATTCAACATTTCTAAA